ATTATTGGAAAACTATGCAACAGAGGCAGACAGAAGTTAAAAGTATCAAAACATCTCCAGATGTTTAATCCATCTTCACAATCTTCCAGGGATTTGGGGGAGAGGGAAAAATCAGAGTCCCTTGTGGTGGTATTGTGTATTCTAATAAATTTATCTGGGGTCAGAGAACAGACAGCCACTAGATACAAAGGCTAGAAAATGGTGGCACTCACACCTTTAATCCTAACATTCCAGAGATAGAAATCCCTCTGGATCTCTGTGAGTTCAAGGCCACATTGGAAACAGCCAAGCATGGTGACACGCCTTTAATCCCAGAAAGCCAGCCTTTAATCCCAGGGAGTGGTGGTAGAAAACAGAAAGATATATAAGGCGTGAGGACCAGAAACTAGAAGATTTTGGCTGGTTAAGATTTTGGCTGGTTAAGTTTTCAGGCTATGGAGCAACACAGTTCAGCTGAGATTCATTCCGGATGAGGACACAGAAGCTTCCAGTCTGAGGAGACAAGACCAGCTGAGGAACTGGTGAGGTGAAATAGCTGTGGCTTGTTCTGTCTCTCTGATCTACCAGCATGGACCCCAATAACTGGCCTCAGGTTTGATTTTATTAATAAGAACTTTTAAGATTCATGCTACAGTCCCTCTCCTCAGGCATTGACTATACATAGGGAGATTAATTCTGCTGCTTGATGAGTGGGATCGTCTCCTTGCTTCGCCCCTGTTTCTGTCACTTAACATATTTGCACCTCGCTGAGGTCACAGGAGAAGGGACCAGGATGGTGGGGGTGGGGGTAGCAGAGAATTTTACCGTTCAAAACTTCTTGGGAACTTTACAGAATGGTGACCAAGGAAATAATATGGCCAGCTTGAGACAAGCTACTGATTCTCCTGTAACAGAAAGGGAAAGTGAGGGGTTGAGAGGGAGAGGGGAGCTGGCGACACTGGTCATACGGAGATGAACCGTTGTTGTTCTCAAAGTGTTTTAAGACAGAAGGGAGCAGAAATGGACCAAATGGAGCCAATGACTGAGGTCTTTCCTAGCCTTAAGTTTAGCTAACTACTTCCCTGGGGGAGGAAATATGGCAGAAAAGAGGTGCCTTAAAAAATAAAGGAAATGACGGATTCAGTCTGCTCAGGGGGAGATGGCTGTCAGATCTAGTGTTGATGGCTGAGGCTAAGGCCAACTGTATGTGCCGGGCAGGAATGGTGTTTTTCCCATTATTCTCATCCTCTGCAGCTGCTCCCCTTTGTTGGTTTGGTTATTATTGTCTTTATGATGTGTGTGTGTGTGTGTGTGTGTGTGTGTGTGACACACACACACACTCACGTCTCTAGGCAACTATTTCTGTGACTATGAGACGTAGATGCACAGTACACTAATATTACAAATAGACCTCTCTTATTTCTTGAGATAGGGTCTTTAATCAGTCTGAAGATTGCTGATTAGGTTAGTCTTACTGGCCAGCAGCCCCAGAGGTCCACTTGTCTTTGCCTCCCTGGTGTTGAAATTGTAAGCACGAACCGCAGGTCTCGCTTGTTCTGGGAATTGAATTCAGCTCCTCTTGCTTGCTCAGCAAACATTTTACTGATCCAGTTCTCTGAGAGCATGGACACAAAATTTTAGAAACTTAGAGGTTAAATCCAGGGTACTGTGACAGGAAGGGCCAATGCTTAGGGGAAGATAGTTACTGAGACAGCTTTTAGATCCTATGTGACCATGGCGTGGCTTTTTCATGCCACATGAAACAGCCTCCCTTAGCTCCTGACTATGCATGCTCTAATAGTCATGGGAATGCTGGGAATTATTTACTTCCTTGCCATGAATATATGCCAGATCCAAGTAGCCAGGATGGCTTCTTATATTTGTCACTAAGCACTTGGATTACAGTAGATCAGATATGCAAGAGTGTTTTGTAAATGGTGACAGGTGCTATAACATAGTGTATCATCTCATGGGTTCTTGGCTTTCACTCTGCTTCACATCCTTGCGTACATCCTTAGACCCTCTTCTAGCTATTCATGCCCAGAGTCACTGTCCGTGCTGGCACTCCTAGATGAGTACGTGTATGTAAATAAGTAGAAACAGCCTGCGGATCTGTGTGAAAGTGGAAACTCCTTAGTGACCAGGTGAGTCAGAACGTTTAGAACTCAGTGGAGGACCATTTCCTAGAACTTTAAAGGGCTTATTTAGATTCAAAATACTTGTCTTCAGTTGAACTCATAGGTCAAACAGAGAAACCCCGTGACACTGCCATTCACACACCTGCTGCTGAGGTGTCTCTTGCCAGGGACGATGGCTCCCTGACCGCTCTTTGTGAACAGGTGTCTCAGGAACGCGCATTCTGACAGTTGAGGACGCATGTCTTTGCCTGCCAGGATCGTGAACTGAGGTCAGCAGGTATATTCACATACTCCTGCATTACTGCTGTGGAAGGCACAGGCTGGAAATGAGCATCATGGGAAGCATCGTCCTGGGAAACCAGCAAATTGTCCAGCACTGCTTTTTAAGAATCCCATTGTGTTTGTCAGAGCCTTCTCAGGGGTTTCGGGTTAAGTGGGAAAGGGGTGTAGAGCTTTAGGCAAGTGACCATGCCCAGTCCCCACCGTTATGCTCCGAGATTTTTATGTTAAGGTTTTGTAGACATAAAAGTTTGGCAGCAGATCTATTAGTTTTTGATTTGAATCAATGAGACATTGTAACTTTTGTATCCCATAAAAATGATGCTTCCTGTGAAGGATTACGTAATTTCAGTATTTAGGGGCATAAATGATAATGAAAAGTAGCTAAGCAGAGTTCAAATTCTACTTTCTGGTTAATGTAAAAATGATGTATGTAAGGTTTATGTTTAGAAAAATTGATCCATTTATAAAAGTGGTTTATGAATTCATGGTACTGGAAACTTGAGGCTATAACTTCTAAACTGGAGTTTAAGGTTCCAAGTGGGGGAAAGGACACTGCATTTGACTTATTTCTAGAACTTAAAATGATTGCTGACAGGGTTTTCTCTGATGGACAGTCCAGTGACTTTACTCAAATGTGGTTTACTCAAAAGTGAAGAATCCTGAAGTCTGATGAAGGAGAATCACTCATCTGCCCAGGAGTTACTAGTCAGCCAGTGTGACGGCTACTGATAATTGTCAATTTGACAGCATCTTGAAACACCAAGGAGATGTGCCTCTTGTGGGGAATTATCTTGATTTAGGAAGTGAAGTGGAAAGACCCATCCACCCCATCCTATCAGGGATCCTGGATCACGTAAGTGGAGAAAGAGAGCCGAGGAGCAGCATGCGTGCATCTGCTCCGGGATTGTGGATACAATGTGACCAACTGTTTTAGGCACCGCCTCTTTCAATTTCCCACCTTGAGAGACTGTACTCTTGAATTGTGAGCCAAAATAAACTTTTTTCCCCTTAAGCTGCTTTTGCCAGAGTGCTTTATCATAGCAACAGGAAAAGAAACACAGAAAGCCAGAAATGAAAATATAAACAAGAACCATGACTTCAACAGTCAAGAGCAGGTTCTGTATTGAGCTTTGGTTTACTGCTCACTCCAGCCCAGGGGACGTTAGATACATAGTAGCTTCTCATCTTCAGAATAAGGCAGACCAGCACCATCACTTCCCAAGGGCCTAGAAACCTACTCAAGGCCACACTAAGTGGTCAAATGGTGATGCTTACTGATGATGGTGGTAGGGATGACAACACTCACCACTCACGAGATATCACCTTGAATCAGGCTTTTTTGTTAACAGGATAAATGAAAACTAATAACTGCATGTGTAAGAGATGTGAGTACTACTGTTACCGCTTTCATCCTTGGTGTGGGGAAACTTCGATTGGAAATTGTATTCACAATAATACTTATTAAAATAAAAACTCAAAGTTCCTTCTCCATACCCACTATAGGTACATCAACTTTTACTTATTTGCTATTTTTATTTGTATTCATGAGTTTATGCACACTATGTGTTCAGGAGCCTATGGAGCCCCATGGAGGGCATTGGATTTCCTGGAAGTGAAGTTGCAGGCAGTTATAAGATGCTGTGTGGGTGATAGGAACCAAACACTGGTCCTCTGCAAGAGCAGTAAGCTCTTTTAGCTGCTGAGCTGTCTTTCTGGGTGCATCAAAACTTTTAAAAAACTACATTGTACTTATCTGCTATAAGGCTTATCATTTTATATTAATTACTTAGGATACAAGGAATGAATGCAGTGATCATTAAAATAGTTTCATATTAGGATCCTATAAATACTATCCAATCTTAGTATTATTATAAGAGTTTACATTTTCTTCAGCTTTTTCCTGTTTTTATATTATTTTTATTTTATATTACATTATATTATATTATTTGAGACAATTTCTTATGCACCTCAGGCTAACTTCACACTCATAATAGTGTGTACCACAATGCTGGCCTTACATGACTCTTTATTTTATATAATTTAAAAATTCAGCATATCTTCTTGAATTATCACCGTATATAATCAAGAACAAACCGAATTAAATATGTATTATTTGCTTTTGTCTTTAAAAATATTTATCCTGAATACACTGACTTAACTCATATATATTATGACTTTTTGTGTTCCTTTTACTGTACAAGACATCAGAGATGAACTGATGACCCACACCTGGTCTCTGTTTTCAAATACTGACAGTCCAATGGGTTACCACTTATGTGGATGACTCAATAGTGTGGTGAGTGCAATCTGACCCATTGTTTCACCTCCAGGTACCTCTAGGAAAAAAAAAATCCATCTGCCAAAGGACTTGCACAGAAAAGTTCCCAGCAACTTTTATAAATCATAGCTTGAACTGAAATTGACCTGAGCGCCTAGCAAGAACATAATCAGTTTGTGATGTACTTGTACATATGAAAAGTAATAAAAATGATGAAATGTGGATGAGTGAGCCTCGAGAACGTCAGGCCTGTGCCAAGACAAAGAAGCTAGATAGCCCATGTGCATCTAAGTGATGTAACTCATATTTGTCCTCATCTTCAGTGAAGCAAAACAGAACACAGGTTGCCCGGGGCTAGAGGTGAACCTTTGGAGGAGCGTGAGGAGACCTTCTGGAGTAACACGTAAGTCCAGATGATTGAAGGTTTTATGTCTTGACTAGGAAAAGGGGATGGGGATAGAACATAGGACATACGCTGTCAAGGATCATCAAACTGAACACATAAGATCTAGGCATTTATTGCATATAAATTCTACCACAATAAATGTTAAGGATTTTGTGTTTTTATACTATTATAAATTGTTCTTATTAATTTTATCTTCCAGATGTTTGTATTAATATGTAACAATATATTTGATTTTAAATATTGACTGTTTTTTCTAACACTGATAAATTCACTAATCATTTCTAATAGTTTATACACACACACACACACACACACACACACACACACACACACAGACAGTTCTAAGCACATATACCCTTCAGTCTTCTATTTATTTTAATTACATTTTTCACCTTTTGCCGCTCTCTCTGTCCTGCAGTTGGAATCATTTCTTTGGGTCAGTCTTTTACTTCTCAATGGTTTTGTTCATTCTCCCCTTACAAACACCTACAGGACTTTTAACCATTGTTTCTTTTAGTTCTGATTCTAGAAGTCCCACTTCTAGTCCCACTCTGTCCTTTTTTACTTTGGCAAGGTCTTTTCTTCTTTTTACTCTTCCCTGTTCATTGAGACAGTTTTTAATCTTTGTTTCTTTAAATACAGTCTTCTAGATCTCATCAGCTTATCTCCACACTGAAGTCTTCAGGGTCTGTTTATAGAGTCTGTTATTACTTCTGTTTCCTCATGTCAATCACTCACTTCCTTCCAGCAGCATGGTTGTGTGCTAACCATGTACTGCTCACTCTCTGGGAAGCATGATTTGGTGATGCCTTGTGGGACAGTGGCCTTCTCTAGATAACCATCCTTGCCAGATGTTTGAGGCCATTGCTTTTCTGTAATCAATTTAGATTTAAAAATCCTGGCTTAGAATTCTCTGGACCTTCCCTGGCTTTTTTTCAATCTGGGCTGTAATTCTATAGAAAGGTTGATCGCTAGATAAAACTATTCAGGGGTAGGTGTGTGTGTGTGTGTGTGTGTGTGTGTGTGTGTGTGTGTGTGTGTGTGTGTGTGTTCACTTTCCCCCTTTACTCGGTATCAAGATACCTCTGCCTTGAGCCCATTTCACTAGGGAATTGGCACTTTTCCCTTTGCGATTCTATTTTAATGCAAAGGGAAATCTAACATTGGCCTACCAACCTACATGGACTCTGAACTTGACTTCTGTTCCTCTTGCTTGTAGGGCCTTCAAAACCATTAACACTATTGTCTCTTGATGCACCCTCATTACAAAAGCTTCTATTGTGTTTCTTGCCTTTCTGAGACCCTGGAGTCACTTGGAGCTTGCTTTGGTAATATCTTACTGTCATAGTTAGCTTTAGATATAAACTCAGCACAAGCCTAGAGTCACCTTGGAAAGGGAATGTCAAGTGAAGAATTGCCTAGATCAGATTGACCTATAGCCATGTCTGTGGGCTTTTTCTTGATTTCTAATTTGAAGTAGGAAGGTCTAGTCTATTGTGGGTGGTTCAATCCCCAGGCAGTTCGGCCTGGGCTCTGTAAGAATGACAGTTGAGCTAGCCAGAAAGAGTAAGCCAGTAAGCAGTGTTCCTCTGTGGTTTTTGTTTCAACCTCCTGCCATGGCTTCCTTGACAATGGACTACATAACCTGTGAGATGAATAGTCCTTTTTCTCCTCCAGCTTAGTGGTGTTTAGTGTTTTATCACAGCAACAAAAGACAAATTAGAACACATACTATCTTGTCTAATTTTAGAAAATGACTTTTCCTGGTACATTTAGTTGATTTTTAGCAGGAAAGTTGTTTCAAATGGCCTCATCCTTTATTCTTGAAAGTGGGGAAATTTTGGAATAATTTTTTCCAAGTATAATTTTCATCATTTCCAAGTAGAAGAGTACTCCAAAATTGGTGGTTTATTATGTAAAAAGTAAATAAGCATCTTGGGCCAGGCAAGGACGGAAAAAGAAAAAAAAGTATGTACAAAGAAAACCAATAGTCAGTCAACAGAGAAAGTATTCCAAAATTCCATCAGCAAGCTGAAGCGTAAGAGAAAGGACCGTGTTTCTCAATGTATTGAGAACTCTATGCTGACATTAGTTGATATTTAAAAAAAAAAAAGAAACCTAACAGTCAAGGTCAGCATGTGTTTTTTATCTCACAGGACTGAGGGCTGGGAATCTGGATGCAGCATGGCTGGATGGTTCCAGGTCTGGAGGGGAACAGCTCACAAGGTTGTGTAGAGACATGAGCCCAAGCTGCCATCCTGAGGCTTGCCAGAGCCCAGAGGACCACTTCCGGGGTCATGTGTGTGAGCTGTGGCTGGAGGCCTCTGGCCATCACTGGAGATTTCAGTTACAGTTACTTCTCACATGGCTCCTCATCTATCTCTCTGCTCATGACATGCTCACTGAGTACCCAAAGCAGTTTGGCTCAAGACAGCCACCAAGACATAAACTGAACACTTTATAAGCTGATCTGGAAAGTTATATGCTATCATTCTTCTATGTTATATTGGTCACATATCATGGTTTAATGTGGGAGGGTACTACATATGTGTGTCGGTATCAGGATCTGGGGATTATCTGGGCCCACCTTGGAGGCTACCTGGGATCAGCTTCTAGGGACCATTGAGAGAGAGAGAGAGAGAGAGAGAGAGAAAGAGAGAGAGAGAGAGGGAGAGAGAGAGAGAGAGAGAGAGAGAGAGAGAGAGAGAGAGAGAGAGAATCATTTCTGTTGTTTCAGTAAAACAAAAACATCGTGGTCAAAAGTAACTTAGGAGAGAAAAGAATTGATTCAGCTTATGGTTCTAGACCCTAGTCCACTACTGTGGGGAAATCCATATGGGAATTTAAAGTATCATATTCACAGTCAGGAGCAGAGAGAATAAATACATGAATAGTATCTTGTCTGCTTAGCTCTCATCGAGTCCTTTCTATTCTTATACATTTCAGAGCCCAGCCCATGAAATTGTGTGATGGATCTTCCCATCTCAATCAACCATCAAGACAACCCAAACAGACGTGTACACAGGTCAATCTGATCAAGGTAATGTCACATTAAATCCCATTAAAACTCTCTTCCCAGGTGATGCTGTGTTGTGTCAGGTTGGCTGTCATGACTCTTTCTCTGTCCCACCAACCAAATCCCAAATCCCCATACAGAGACTTACTATTAATTATGAAAACTCAGCCTATAGCTTAGGCTTGTTTCTAACTAGTTCTAATAACCCATTTCTATTCATCTCCATCCTGCCAGTGGCTCATGACTGTTGCCTCTCCTCCTGCGTGTCCTACTTCCCTGCGTCTGTCTGGTGACCCCTTTTCTTCCTTCCAGCCTCCTCTCTGTCCTGAAAATCCTGCCTAGGTGTTTGTTGTTCAGCTTTTTATTAAACCAATCCAAGTTACACCTCTTCACAGTGTACAAAAAGATGATTTCACAACAGTTGACAGTTAAAATTAATGAGCTAGGGAAGAGAAAAAGAGAGGGAAGGAGAGAGAGAGAATATAGAAAGTCTGTTTATAGAAAATCAAATATGTCTGGTGGCGTATGTAACCCAATGGCAGAGCCCTTGCCTTGTGTATCTAAAGCCCTGGGCTACTTTTCCAGCACTGCCAAAACTGATTACAAATAAATACGAAGATATAGCTTTAAAAAGGTTCTTATGTGATGTTTAAGTTCACTCAAAAGAAGAATAATTTAAGTTAAAATTCTATCGAGATTCCATTTCCTCCCATAGGATTGGGAAAGATAAGACACAAAGTTATAACTCACAGTATTGCTGAAGATTTTGGAAATCAGGATCTCGTATTCTGTCAGGAAGGATAGACTTTGATAAAGCCTCTCAGAAGGGTAATTTGGCAGTGACTGTCAAAAGTAAAAATATACTTAGCCCTCTGATCCAGTAATCCCACTTCTAGGAATTATTCTAAGTATATTCTGGCATGTGTACGAAATGATGTCTGTGTGAAGATATTCACTGCAGTGCCTTGTAATAGTAAACGATGGAAGATTATCTGAATTTCCATCAACAAGGAACTGATTAAATAAATTACTATAGTATATAATAGACTTCTATGTATTTCTTTAAGAAGGACCAAGTGCCTGCTTTACATCGAATTAGAATTTTCATCAATGTTCACCGAAAGATAAAAGAGCAACCAGACAACATGTTATTAGTTTTTTAAGAGCCTACTCTTATCTCCATAGATACAATCAAGCAATGTGGACTTCTAGTTGCCTAGAAGAAGAGAACTGGGTGGACAATATTACACATCCTGAGTTCTACAGAATGTGCCTGGATGTACAGTGGTACAGTGGTACAGTATTGCCACTGAGTCTGTTAGGTTGCTATCGCAAATGAGCTGGGTGATTCCTGAATAAAAGACTTTCATTTGGGCTCACAGTTTTGGGGGTCCAGGAGCATGGTGTCGGGGTCTGCTCAGCTTCTGGCCAGGCTATTTGCTGGGTTACAATGTAGAAGAAGAGTGAATCAGCAAGCAAGCCTGTGCCAAGAAGAGGCATGCCTGCAAGCAAGGCCAGAGGGAGGCTGAGCACCTCACACAGGAACTCGGCTAGTTCCCAAGAGAACTAATCCAGTCTCTACAGAAGGACACCCATCCATTTTTGCACATCTTATCCCAATGGCTTCACTTCCCATCAGGCCCCACATTTTTACAGGCCATTACATCTCAGTATCATTAGACAAAGGACCACACTTTTAACACAGGAACCTCTGGGAAACAGTCTGTTGCAGATACTCAAAACTAATGTCAAAAGCCAAAAGTTTCAAGTATATATTGGAAGGATCTGAAATGATGGTGCCCTGAGTTAATTAAGCTTATGTCAACAGGAATTCAAGGAGAGTTGGTCGTAAATTGTCCATAATTAGATTGGAAAGCAGGAGACCCATGGGAGGCAGGGAGCCTGGAGGCATACCTCTGATAAGAACATTTCCTCTGATAAAATAGGTCCATTTTATAGGGAAAACACATCTTTAAAAGCCTTTCTTTCTATCCTATAACACAAGCTTCTCATGGTCAGAGGTTACTTAAATTTCCTCCTATTTTTTTTCTTATACCTAGTGTAGTATCAGACTTTTTATAGATACCCAGTCAATATTGTTAAATAAACATCAGGGAATGTAATTACTAAAGTGGTGTTTTTCAGAAAGTGCCTTGACCATTTGCCTAAACGCAGAGGATGGGCATCAAAGAAATTGAAGGTGTGACACCGCACTGCCTGTTTACAAAGTAGAAATTTGCTAATCAAAGCAAGGCGTAGGAATTTCACGTCTCAAGATAACGTTTCAATGTCGCTAAGAAATGAAGAGTTAATTCATCCACCAGAGGGCTCTCATCTTCTCATTTAGTGGTCGGCTTAGACTCAAATGAAGAGACAAATACAATTGAAGCCCAGAAGAGGGGACACACCACACACACACACACACACACACACACACACACACACACACACACACACGAAGGTGGTGGGGGGTGACTTCTCTCCTCACTGTTAAATTTATGCAACCATTGTAAAGAAATCTTGCCAAGCCGTCTTGGTATAAGATGAGAGATTGAAGCTGAACAAATGTGTTCTAAATACTCCATCTCCCAATGTTGGGGCGGGGGGGAGGCTCTTCCTTGTCTGTTGTTAATTGCTGTTTAAATTTATTTCTGGTGCAGTGCGAAGCAGGAGCTGCCTGGAAACGTTGTCCATATGGTAGGTGGGAAGAGAGAGGATGTGGCAATGCTCTGTTTCCCTTTAGGTGAGTCTATTGAAGCTGGGTTAATTACCGGAAATTTAGTGCTCCATGAAAACCCACTTAAACCTAAGATTGCCAGAGTTCATGGCATTCATAGGGTTTGTCGTCTTCATCTTTCCTTCTTTCTATTCTATTTCAGTATATGACGTGGTGTGATTTGGGGCCCTGTTACTGATGTGGTGAATGTGTGCTGGATACCAAGTAAGTTACCTACATCATCTTACTTCTGCCATCAACATTGCTCCTTTGTGTGCCAGAATTTAAAACACCAGACTTGCAAATTATAACCATTATATATAATACATAATTATAACCATTATATTTAATATATAACATATAATATATATATGTATGTATGTATATTCCTCATTGTGTTGATGGAGCCTCTGGATCAGGGGAGCAGAGAGGGAATTGAATGTTATTGCGTCAGTCCTGAGAGTGGGTTACTGCTGTTATCTGTCCTTGCAGTAACCAGCAGAAAGCAGGCATCATGCTCCCAATTTGCATAAGAAGAAACCAAACCCTGCAAGGCTGAGTCAGCCATGACTGTAAACGCTGTAGAGATGGGACTAATTGGATTGTGAGTGCCTAGAGAGTCTACATTCTTTCACCTTGACGTTCTCGGAGCCTGCATAAAGTGAAATTGACAATTCCGGCTTTCATTCTTTTTGGACATCACACTTTCCTCAAGCTGTACAGAATGTTCGGGACAGCAGCCCCTTGGAGGAGCCCCAAGGCCACACGCTCTGCAGCATGGCCCTAACTACTGGGAGTGTGCCTCTTTGATGGCTCACTACAAGGGCTCCTCCTGGTATTTGAGGGAAGGGGAAGTGTGCAGGCGGCAATGAGAAGCTTGGCCACTTTTTGCAGTAGCTGCAATGCGCTGGCCATAGCTGCTCTTCTTTCTTCAGCTACTAATGGCCTCTGAACTGAGCTGCCTGATGATAAACACAGGTGGGGTTCATGGACCCCCAGTCACGATTGTGACCTGGATGTTATGAAGTGCTCACAGTGAGCTTATCCTAGGACCCCGATCCCATGGCAAAGCCGCCATGATGATGACCCACCGTCAAGAGGATGTGCCTTTCTTAGGACTTTTCCCTGATTTTTCCAGTGTACTCACCCACAATTAAACAGTCCTGTGAGCAAGATGGTGGCAGGAGTTTGTCTTTGCAGTTGGTATTCATGCAGAACAACGGCCTTTAGCCCCCATTCAGGAAGCCACGTGCAGGACCATAGCCTTACAAGAGCCATTAACCATTTGGGAAGATAAGACTAACATAAGGCTGTGGGCAGGGACAAAGTGTCCTGTGAAGCAAGCAGCCCCGAGGTCTTCTGGGAACACCCAGTTCTCTGATGGTCATATGTGGAACAGTCTCAGAAATGTATTTTCAAGTAGCACTCATCTATTCACTTTCTCTTTAACTCTCTTCCACTGATTGGGTTCAATCTAGGAAGGACAGGCTGTTGGTCCCTTGATTGGATGGTGTGGGATTTGGGGAGACTCTTGAATGAAGACAGGAGCTGGAGAGCTTGGCAAACAGAAGCTGGAGGATTATTATAGGCCTATGAGTCACAGGGACTGCAGGCAAATGATACTGAGTGGGATGAGGGAGGGAGCGTGGGCACAAGCTGGCTTGAGGCAGGCGGAGAGGAAGGAGCAAAGCTACAGGACTGTGTTAGTCAGGGCTCTGCAGAGGAGGTGCACCAATCAGATGTGTGTGCATGCTGAGCAGATTTCATTCAAGGAATAGGCTCGTGTGATGATGGAGTCTGGCAAATCTCAAATGTGCAGGCTGGAGGCCCAGGGAAGTGCTGATGTTGAATGCCAGAAGTATTCCCACAGGGACCACAACCATGACACCCACAGCCTAGTACTCAGTGCTAGGAAAGCACATTGGTTCATGTCTATAGGGAGATGTGAGATGTCTTGACCAGGAATCTCTATAGAGGCTTCCAAACCACTGTCAGAGCTTGGCCCCACACTCGGCCTCAAACTCACCTCTGCTGTGTGCCCAAAGAGGCCAGGCAGCCAGTTATGCCACCAGCCACTTATCTGGCTTGGCACTGGCCCCTTGTGGCAGCTAGGAAACAGGCAGTGGCTTGATGACTTAGTAGTTGTCTTTCCATGGACAGTTAAAGCAGGATTCTCACACATCAAGGGGAATTCCAATCTTGACCGTGTATTAGAACACTCTAGAAGGGGTTTAAAACACTTAGGGGAGGATTCATAGTGCAGAAAAATTCAGAGACACTGGATGGGAATCTGGGAAGTTGTCCTCTTGCAAGCTCATTAGTGACTGCAAGGAAAGCTGGATAGAAGGCTGTGATACACAGCTGTCATAACAGAGTAACAATCTGGATGGGTTAGAATGGAGAAGACCTTATTTAGCTCAAGGATCTGGAGTCTGGGAAGTCTAGAAATGTGGCACTGGTTCCTGGTCAGACTCTGGGGAGGGCCCTGTGCTACATCTTAATATGGCAAGTACATCAAATAGTGAGTCCACAGGCATGGAGTCTTCCATTTTTATCCTTCTACAGCATTACCATACAGGCCTCCACCTCATGACCTCACCCAGCCTAGTTGCCTCCCAAATGACTGCTATTGACATGTGAATTTGGAGATTCATCTTCTCACACATGAACTCTTGGGGACACGTTCAAACCATAGCCACCCTCAGCAGCTCTTAGTGGTTCCCTTTCCAGGCTGTTCTCGATGTCCATTTAGTCCAGTTTTTCTCTTTGATGGTAGTGAGGTCTTATACATGTACACACACAGTGTGTGCCTTGCTGAGTTGTATCACTGGCCCTAACTCACATTGGGCTTGTACTTTAACAAGCTGGCGTTCAGAAAAGCGGGTGTTTCCCCAGTGACACCATTTTCTCTAACCCGGCACCCATCACATATTGGCTTAAAAGATTTGAAATAAAAATGTCTAATGTGATGCCGGGCGGTGGTGGTGCACACCTTTAATTCCAGCACTTGGGAGGCAGAGCCAGGCGGATCTCTGTGAGTTCGAGGCCAGCCTGGACTACCAAGTGAGTCCCAGGAAAGGCGCAAAGCTACACAGAGAAACAAAACAAAACAAAAAAATGTCTAATGTGGTGACCTTCAAGACACAGAGGAAGGGTTAGATTTTCCAGTCATCATAAAGGAGACAGAAACATAATTTGGTAAGAAAATCAGATGGTATACAGGAAAGAGCTGTATCTGCCATTTTTTTCTTGAGTAATTCTTCATTGAGAAAAATCCATCAATGTTACTGAGCATCAGGGATTTTTTTTTTTTTTTTGCTACCAGAATAATGATTGTCTGTGCTGTGGTGAATGAAGTATGGGGATAATGAATAGCAAATGCACACAGTACATAGTCTGAATTGTCACTGGGACAGACTAATGAGAAGAGTTAAGATCTAGCATTTTGTTTCTTTGGATTCTGAATCTCAATTTCCTCATTCATCAAATAAAAACAAATTGTTGATATGATCAGAACTTTTGAGGGACAAGTCTAGGCCTCACAGCTCTAACAAGAAAAGCCTCTCCACTCACTCTCAGTAAGCAAATACAATGGACATAATAGTGAAGAGCAGGGCTGGAGAGATGGCTCAGAGGTTAAGAGCACTGACTGCTCTTCCAGAGGTCCTGAGTTCAATTCCCAGCACCCACATGGTGGCTCACAACCATCTGTAATGAGATCTGGCGCCCTCTTCTGTATACATAATAAATAAATAAAATCTTAAAAAAAAAATAGTGAAGAGCAGGCAGGGGAATGTATTAAGTGTGGTTTCCGATTCCTACTATCCAGAACATTGTTAACATGGTGAAGAAAATCTCTTCCTGGAAGTCAGGCTTCCCTTGTGCCTAGCATTAGGGCCCCAGTTTTTCCTCTTCCCCATCCTGCTCCTGGGGGAATCCCAATTCTGCGGGGCCCATCATCTCAATAGTCTGACAGCTGAGGAAGAAGCACATCTGACAGGCTTTAGAACGTCTTCTCTCCTGCTGAGGTGATTATATCAAGCCGCATAACATCCTCCAGTGCTCACAATCTCCCCGACCATCAGAAAGGAACCTTAGTTGGAACTAAGACGTGCCCATCTGTGGAGTGCTAACCATCCTGAAGCGACTCAAGCTGGGCTTGGCATGGACACTACATCCATCCAGTGACTGGGGTTTTCGTATGAGAAAAGAGAGGGAGGTTAGGGCCTATAGTCCAGGTTATCTGTAAGCTAAGGGGGGGAAAGACACATGTAGGAAGGAAAGTGGGAGCAGGGATTGTAGTGTTGCTGTGACTAACCAAGAGTCCCCAGGATCCCCCAGGATCCCCCAGGAGGAAGGGTTCTTTCTCACAACAGTCTAAGGGCACACGGAGCCGCTATACTTGACACATAAGACTGTTAGCCTCCACAACTGTGAGGGAAAACACTTCCATGGTTTTCATGGTTGAAGGCACCCAGCTAGCAGCATTTTTCTACGGCCACCCTAAAGATCTAAAACAATCAACAACCATGCGTGTAAATGGAGACCGAACTTTTCTGTCCATCTGCCTGCTCCCAAATAACCAGCAGCTGCTTCCCAAATAATTGACTTAATATAAATTAGAAATGGTCAATAGTTCAGGCTTGTTACTAACTAGCTCTTACATTTTTCAGTTAACCCATATTCATTATTTATGCTCTCCCACATGGTGGTACCTTTATTAACATGGCACGTTCATCTCCTGTTCTCTCTGCACCTGGCTGGCAACTCCTGATTCTGCCCGTCTCCTTCCCCACATCCTCAGTCTGGCTCTCCTGCCTAACCTTATTCTGTTCAGCTATTAGCCAGTGAGCTTGTTTATTAAGCCAATCACAGCAACGAATCTTCACAGTGTACAAAGGGATAATTCCACAGCACATGCTCATCTAACGTATTACAACTGTAAGGAATTCATACTGCAAATGTGATAGATTTAGTAATGATAACATTTTAACTAAATATTTATTGGGACTATCCGATGCTGATGTGACGATAGCCCTCAAAGCCACTGAGACGTCATGAGTTTTCAAGAGGGATTGGGTGAGGGCCCAGTGAAATGACAGGTGTTGAGTGTGGCAGGGTAGTCAGTTGACATCCAAGAGCTGCAGGCCCTCCCTCCACATGTCCACTCATCAACCATGGAAGGAGGGAGACTTGTTCTTCAATTGCATATAATACACTAGACCATGAATAGTTAAGAGTTTCCTCTTGGGGGCCCCTCCCTGGGGTTCCACTTTCAATCTCTTCCTTACTGTCAGCACCTGCAGTACCAAGTTTTGTGTACTTGAGAAATTTCCATTAAGCTAAACTTAAGGAGCATGCAAATTCCTTTCATTGTAGTGCATTGTTTACCTCTTGTTTCACTTCTAAAGTTTCATTTCTTTAGCTTTAAATATCACCCCAAACTATGAAACAAAAAGTTCCAGAAAAAACCTAACCCATAAGTTTTTAATGGCTTTTTATTATAATCTGTTTCTTCAATTGATCTATTTTATTATTACTGGTTGATCTCTTACTGTGTCTAATTTATTAGACTTCACTATAGGTGTGTATGCACAGGAGAAAATATAGTGTACATAGTGTTTAGTAGCACCTCAAATGTTTCAGATATTCACTGCATGTTATTGGTGAAATTATTAAAGCCACTCTACGTAGTTAAAAGGGAGGTTTATTTAGTGGCATAATTTACAAATGAAGGGATAAGTAGGTTGCAGGGTCTAGGGAAGACATAGTGCAGTCAGGCCGTGTTCTCTGAAGAACTCTGCTCCGTCTACCTCCACCATCCAGGGTCCAGGAACCAAGAGAGGTGGCGCATCCAGATCTTGGGTCTTCAGGGTCCTCCCTTGGCCCCGCCTTGTAGGCGTGACAGTTACTGAAGCCTCAATGGGTGTTGGAACTTCCAGATCAAAGCTGGAATGGCTACCCACTACAGCATGTCTTGGAATGCATTTCTCATGGGTAAGAAGGGACTACTGTGTTTGGGATGAATATTTCTTATCTTATATGCCCAGGTCCCAGGTGACTCGCCAGTGGACTGAGAGTTCTCTGTATATTCTAAAGCCACTTTGTGTAGAATATTCTTTTACACTGTGTGAATATATGTTGCTGTGATTGGTTTAATGATGAAGC